TTTTTTTTTTCAAATATTCAAATTCATTTGAATTTTCATTATTTAAAGTTATATATAATTTTTAGCTTCATTTGTTTGAACAATTGTTATAAACAAATGTTTTGTTTACAAGATATTTGGATTTTTTTTGGGAGGATTTTTATTAGTGATGGATATTATGATTTTTAATAGTTTCTCTAGAAAAAAATGTATTGCTTAAAAACGCCATTTTTGATTAACAATTTTTTTGCCACTTAATATGAATATTAAGGATCGATTTCTTTCGAATCATAATTTCCATTTCTCCTTGACATTCTGAAGGAAAACTTCTTCAATTCATATTTTCTTCATTTATTTATTAACAATTTGTTTCAAACGCATTAATTTCATGATATATATTTTTTAAATACTACCAAGAAAAACAAAAGCAAACATGTGTCACTTTTTGTGTAAAAAAAGAAAAACATTAAAACATTTGTTAGGAATCACATGTTAAAAGGTAAGACCTTGTTAGTTCTCAGCTCGCAGAAGTTTCACAATTTCTGAGAGTTGTCGTTCGTATGGGGACGACAGCTGATTAACGGAAAAACAGATTTTAAAACAGATTTGTAAAAAATAGAGATTTTTTTTTCAAAAAAAGTGACACAATGTGGTTTTTTTGTAGTACAAAAAAAATATATCGTGAAAATTTATTTGCTTGAAACAAATTGTTCAATAAATACCTAAATAAAGAAAATATGATTAAAAAAAGAGTTTTCTTCAGAATATCAAAGAGGAATAGAAATTATGATTGAACAAAATCGTTCTTCAATATTCATATTCAGTAACAAAAAAAATTGTTGATCAATAAATGCGTTTTTGGGCAATACAATTTTTTTAAAGAAACGATTTAAAAAAAATCATAATATTTAGCACTGATAAAAATCCCCCCAAAAAATTTCAAAATAATTATAAACAATCCATTTGTTCATAACAATTTTTCAAACAAATAGAGCTAAAATTTATGAAAAAACATTTTTATGTGACTTCAAAAAATACGTATAAATTTGAATATTGAAAAAAACATTTTTTCCATTGCTCCAATTGAATTTTTCACTTTTTAACGTCTTTGATTATTAATAACAAAGTGGAAAATTGTTTTTTTATAATTTTTCCAAAAGGAAAGTTTTTTGAAGGCTTTCAAGAAAAACTCTAAGAAGTGAACAAAATCTGAGGTTTTCAGTTTAAAAATTATCGGGGTGTTATGTAACGAAGAGGCTGATTCACTAACACGAGAAGGAGCACGATGCTCCCCCATTGGCCCAGAGCCCTTTTGTGGTACAGCAAAAGCGCTGCGAAAAACTTGTAACAGCATCTGGAAGGAAAAACAATCTCAAAAATGGTGGAATAAGGCGCCGGGTATGAGACAGGCCAAAGAGTTCATTAAAGAGCCATCCCAAAAATTCACGGAGTACCTACTAAGTCTGAATAGGCGGTCATCTAGAGTTCTAGTCGGGCTATTGACGGGACACTGTAAACTCAACAGACACATGAACAACATCGGACTGGCAGACACAGCCCTATGCAGGCGTTGCCAAGAGGATGAGGAAACCTCCGTACACATACTATGCTATTGCGAAGGTCTGTCAAGGATAAGGTTTGCAACATTAGGGGAGGAAAAACCACAACCCTCTCAATATATGGGGAACTTGAAGTCTGGCCTATGGAGTCTAGTTACAAGGACGGGCCTAGACGAGGAACTCTAGCATACATGAGGGCACACACAATAGACCTGCGAAGGTCGCAGTGTAGTGGCTGTTCAGCACAGAAGCCCCATATTGATCTGATCTAATCTAACTTTGAAACTTGTGAAAATCTGTTTCTGTTTTCAAAATCAGCTGTCGTCCCCATACGAACGACAACTCTCAGAAATGGAGAAACTTGTGTGAGCTAAGGACTAACGAGGTCTTACCTTTCAACGTGTGATTCCTAACACGGTTGCAGAATTATTCCAGCTTCAACCAGATAAATTCTCTCGAGAAAAATATCTAGTCGAGGCGGGAATCGAACCAACGGTCTTCCGATCGTGAGTCGGGCACACTACCACCGCGGCCAATTCTACAACAAAGTATTAATCAAAGTATATCTAATAAAATAATCACAGAAAGATTTTGTTTCAATGGATTTTCATTTATTCATGTGTCTAGAAGGTATGGGATTTTTTTTGTCAATAATGATATTTAATACCTTGAAATAATTTTTATTGTTCAAAGGTCAGCGCGTGCGGGACGTACATTGCCCGCTTTTAGCGCTATAGTCGCCTCTAAATTAAAATTAGGAATATTGGTGATAGAGTTTCGGGAGGTGGGACTTTTTTTCAGGAAATGTCCACTTCTTCAAGGATCTTTTTATATAATATAAATTGATTTGATAACCCAGAAAAAATCAAAAAGATTAACCGAAAATAACAATTTTATTAAACAAAAAATTGAAATTACAAAGAAATAGCCTACAACAACAACCAAACAAATAAAAATTGATAACTGGTGATAACTGGTTATCACCCGAAGACGAACAATCGAAACGTTGTGACATAATTTGGTTCGAAATGTTTTAATTTTTTAGTTTTTCATTTTTTGTTAATAATATTTTTAATTTTTCAATTTTTTTTCAGCTTTTATCAATATTTCAATCTGTACTCTTTCAAACTCAGTTCTTTTTCTTCAATAGTCAACATTTGTCGATGTCTGAGGTACAATAGCCATGCGTTATTTAAGGATATATCTATCATTGGAGCAAATATAGACAGATGTCAATGGCGAGTTTTCATTCGAATGCGATAGAGGGAGCTCGAAAGCACGGTCTACTAGTGTCTTGATGATTCCTCTCTTAGTCGATTGTTGGTAGTTGGATTCCTAGTTCAGATACTGTCCCCTCTGAGTGGGTTTTTGGATATACAGATGTTTCCCATTTAGTATCGGTCCTCTTCACCAATACGTCTGAGAATGGCAATTTGTTGTGAATTTCCTACTCTATTGTGAAAGTGATGGAAGGACTTACGGTCTTGATGTGCATTCCCATGGTTCCATATTATGAAGGTGTCATCCACGTATCTCAACGAGACTCGTGGCTTCTTGTGGGCTTCTTCAATGACCAGAGTTTCAAACCACTCCATATATGTGTTGACTATAACCGGTAAAATGGCAATCCTATTGGCAGACCCTCATCTTGCGTAAAGAATTCGTCCTTCAGTTGGAAGTAACAGTTTCGTACACATCATTCTATTAATTCCATGATTACTTGTATCGGTAAGTTTGTTCTATCTTTCTGACAGCTTTCTATGTATGATTTGAAGGGCTTCTTCAACAGGAACGTTAGTGTAGAGGCTTTCCAAACTGAACTTTCGAAACTGATCAGTTGATCCTGCTCTTTGATTTGCATTTACCGAATACTCTGCGAGTGTGCGGAGAATCATGCATCGGTGTAACTAAGAGGCCATTGAAAGTTCGCATTGCCAAGCTCAAGAAACACTCACATCGAGGAGAAATCGGCAATAGCAGACCATGTTTGGACTCATCAGCATAACATCAATTGGTCTCAAGTTGAAATCATCCACAAGGAGGAACACTTGTTTAGGGGAAAATTCAAAGAAGACGCACATATGTTGTCCAACAATGCATTTAGTCAAGCAAGCGTAGAGATACGCAACATATGGAAACCCATAATCAAGCTGAACACAACCAACTCCCGCCATACGGTCAGTTCCCGCTAAAACCGATGAAGCAGAGAGAGGGAAGACGGGCTTGATGAAAGCACTTGAATGACCTATAAATAGTCATTTCCCGGAGGAATAAGTCCAGTTATCACCCGAAGATGATTGAGGATACTTACAATTGAAAGTAATTTGGCTTGAAGTCTTTTAAATTTTTTGTAGATCTTTTCAGAGCTTTCAAATCAATTTACGTACAGCCCATCTCGTCTTGTGTTTGTAAATCTTTTGCTGGAAAAATTCTCACTTGTTTACTTTGCGGTAAATGTTCAAGAAATACCGAAAACTTATGTGAATTTCTGGAACTTCATCTAGCTTTTCCTAATATGACTAATAACCAGTCCGTGCAAAGCTTATTGTTAAATCATCTGGAAATGGAATTTTTAACAAGTGATGATCGACTGTATTGTCCAACATGCGCCAAACTAACTGACTGTTATAAGGAAACAAGTATAGCACCAGTCAATCTAATGATAACACTGATGATTTTCAAACAAGACTCAACCTCTAACGGAAGCAAGAAACTCTTTGGAAGGTTCGAAATAGATGAACATTTCAACCTAGCAGACCACTATTATAATATTCATGCAGTCATTGTTCACTGTGGTTCTGGCGTTGAATTTGGTCATTAATTCGCCTTGGTCAAAGAAGAAACGGACTGGTTTAAGTTTGACGATAGTCGTGTCACGAAGTGTTCTGGCGATACATTGGAGCCTCTTGAGACACCCTACATTTTGTTTTATAAGAGAGAGGACATTGTTAGATCAAGATCTTCCGATGATGTGGTGCTGCAGGTTTTTCCGGGTTTTCCTGCAGCTGAAAAAGCAAATTCGCCACTGGAATCAATGAAGTCGCCCCGGAGCGCCAATTAATTTTTATTTTTGTTTTTATTTTATTTTTATCGTTGTTTTAATAAAAAACTTTTGAATTTATATTATATTGAATAATAGAAGTTCGAACTAATGAAATGAACCACAAACGTTGTCAACCACGTTCAAACAAAAGTTAGAGAGTGGTTGGTGAGTGGTCTGATTCGGAGAAAAAACTCCCGTGTATATATTTAGTGGAAATAAAACAAAAAGGGGACAATTTCATTAAGTAATAACGATTTTTAACTGAACGAATTTCAAACATTTTGGTTGTGATGTTATAATAGAGTCATGAATATGTGATTCTTTGAATCATCTAGTGTAGCATTTCTCATTCGATTATTTACGCGAGAGTGTTATTTTTTGGGCGGTACCTGGAACATTCATGTTTCGATGTATTACAGGTGATGAAGTAATAGAATGGAACGGAAGATCGCTTCAAGGAAAAACGTATCAAGAGGTTTCGGATATAATAGCAGAAAGCAGGCAAGAAGCAAATGTCGAACTCATTGTTTCAAGGAGTATGGGGAGCAGGAGGGTGGCACAAGCGAATTGGAGGCAATCCGTGGGTCAAAGAGGTACGCTCAACTCACCGATACCTCGAATGATCGAAATCATTGGAAAGTGTACTGAAAACTGTTCTCACTTCCAGTGATTTCGAAAATCGAAGTACGAGCACCAAACACACTGTTATAATTATCACAAATTCTTTCACCGACACACTACACTACCAATTTTTCCACGTTCTTCTTCTGTATTTCACGATGTTCTTGTTTTTTCCTTGTTGGCTTGAGAACGTAGTGATTTTTTTTTAATGGGAGCAACAACTGTGTGTGTTTTGAACTCGTAACTACAATTAGCTGTATTGCTGTTTTACACATGCTATTCTACTGTTATTTATGTATTTTGTCTGAAAATTTTGCTACTGAGAGAAACGTTTGACGATGAAGTTGTTATAAAATGTAAACTATTGATATTCTGACTCGTTACTTGATGAACCTTAATAGCATTCTGAAGAAAGGTTAGTTGGGTAACAGGATCAATTTTTTCTTAAAAAAATAATTGTGTTCTTGCCGACTTCTCGAATTTGATTAAATTAACTTCTTCAGGGCTCGAAAAGTAGTTTCTTCGTGTTGATAATATCACTGTTTTAAAAACCATTAGACATTTTAGATACCTACTAAAAATAAACAGAAAACATTGCAACAGACAAACACCCGTGATGTTATCAAGATGAAGAAACTACGTTTCGAGCCCTGAAGAAGAATTCAATCAAATTCGAAACGTCTGCAAGAAAACAGTTGTTTTATAAAGGAAAAATTGATCCTGTTACCCAACTAACCTGTCTTCAGAAAAATTATTGTATCACTAAACTATTTAATCAATAGCATTATCTATGATAACACTTATAGATTCTGAAGAAATAAACTTTAAACGTTCAAGCCAGTGACGCAGTAGGTTGAATGGACTGACGCCTATCAGAAAACAACTACTCCTCTGGCTAATACCACGAAGGGCGTTGGATTATATCCGACAAGCGTCAGTGCAGGAATATTCACATAGCCCACTGACTAATAATGAAGTTTTTCTTCCTTATTCAGAGAAATCGGGCAAATTTTGGATATGTCGTTGATTAGTACCTCGTCCACTAGAGGCAGTGATATTTTGTTGTTCGCTCCAACTTAGGAAGAGGAATGAAATACTCTGAAAGAATTCCGATTTTCAATTATGGAATATCATTGACTTTAGGTCGATGATGGCCACTATCTTGCACTGATGAGTGGTTAATTAACCCGAAACCGGTCTGAAAGTGTGCCTGTTTCAAAATTGAAGGTCGACTCTTTCAGTTATATTGCCGATTGCATATGCAGGACATTTTCTGTAAAGATTCCTGCACTGACGCCTGTCGGATATAATCCAACGCCCTTCATGATATTAGCCAGGGAAGTAGTTGTTTTCTGATTGGCGTCAGTTCATTCAACCTACTGTGTAGGTATATTCGAGAGTGGCTTGAACGTTTAAAGTTAATTTCTTTGGATTTGTTGACTGCGAGTCTTCAAGCATAGTCCACTGACTAATAAGACAACTTATAGAATGTTCACAATAAATTTTATGGGAGAGGCATTTCGCAACGTGGTAACTTCAACAATCAAACTGCTATATCAAACTATTCTACAATGTCTTATATACAGGGTGTCCCTGGACTTCATCTTTTCCTCTCGGGAATGTATAGATGGGGTCAAAATATCACCAGTACTTCATATAACTTTTTTTCCTAAAATCCTTCGTTACCAAGTAACGAGCCCTCGAAGTTACAAAATGAAAAATGCTTTTCTTTGATAACTTTTCAAGTGAATATTCAAAATCATCCAAATTTTGGTAATTGACTAAACAAATGAATTCCTTCGATGAGCTTT